CTACAGGATAAAGTGTTTCCCTTTTCTTTAGCACATCCTGTTCTTCATGAGCTTCCCTCCAAGACAGAATGTTTTATCTCAAAGGAATTGCTCTACAAATACCACTCTTCATTTCTGAGCCACCCACCACCAGCAGCACCACTCACCACCAACGACTTTAAAAACAGTGTCTTTAGACAATGTCAAATGACCGTGGGAGACAAAAATCTCTCCCGGATGGAAACTGCTGTTCTAGAGCAGCCTTTTAAAAAGGTGATATCCTATCACTGACCCACTCCCTCAGCCTTATCCAGAAATGGCTTCAGGACTTAACCTTGATCACCATTCTAACATTCTCCTAGCAACTTCCAGTGTCCTTCTCCCCCCAGCTTTTTCTCTGTTCCTCTTTGTCCCTGATAGTAACAGAGTGGTCATGTTGCTTTACTACATCCTCTTGCATACAGAGAATCTCGGTAATGGAATGTTACCAAAAGCATGCCTTCCCAGGTACCTAACCGTACCCATTAATATGATGGGGCTAGGGTTTTACACCACAGTTGCTGGAGTGAATCAAGGACTAGACCTGGGAGGGGAGCTTTAATGTGAGGGGGAGCAACTTCTTTTTTGCTTTAAGTGTAAATGAGCGAGGTGAATTTCAAAGAAGTGTTGAAGACCTGCTTGATATAGGAGGGGTTAAAAGGTTGTTACAAGGGTCTAGAGGTCTAATGAAAGGTGAAGGTATTATCTTAAGGTTATGGGAAGAGATCAGTAGGGTAAAACAGCAAGTCTGTCAGGTGATGAAGAGAAGGGGAAGCGAAGGCTCAATAGGAAATGATTGTTGGTGTAATAATTTCTAGAGAGAAGCAGTGTTTGCAAAGACTGATTAGAACTGTAATGATGTGGAAAAGTTGCATTGCTGCAGGTCCACAGGCTAATCATGTTATCTTGGGCTACTTTTTTGTTTTTATATTTTTTATTTAATTTTATGGTTGTTTTACCTGTATGTCCAGACAGCATGTGCATGCAGCAGCCAGAAGAGGATGTCAGATCCCTTGGAACTGGAATTATAGATGGCTGAGCTACCACATGAGTGCTGGAAGTTAAACCTGGTCCTCTGGAAAAGCAGTGCTAACTGTTGAGCCCTGCCTCTAGTCCCATCTCAGGCTAGCTTTAGCCCCTGAAATAGCCATTCCTTGATAACTAATATCCTGTGGCTAGTAGATTTAAAAACAACAACAACAAACTTTTTGGAAACTATTAATCTTGTTCCCACCAACCCCAAAGTTAAGAACATCATGAGACAAGTGGGAGACAGGGTAGGCTCCTGGGAGGATATGAGGGGAATTCAAACCGAGACTCCTAATAGCAAAGGCTGGAGTCTGAAGAGGACACTAACTAGCCTCTTCTCCTAGTGTGTTGGGAACATCAACACACCCACAAAAACTTCAACCCCAAATTCATCCTGCCTTCAAGATGTGCAGGGAAAAAGATAGAGCAGTTAGAACAGAGATGAGGGACTACCCAACCACTGCCTGACTAACCAAATAACCACACTATGGGAGAGTGCCAACCTCTGACTCTATGAATGATACTCTGCTAAGCTTCCAGACAGGAGCCTGGCAGATATGCCCTCTAAGAGACTTTACCCAGCACTGCCTCAAAACAGACACGGAAACTCACAGCTGAACATATGGTGACGAGTAGGGAGTCTTGTGGAAAAGTGGGAGGAAAGAGAAAAGGACCTGGAGGTGACAGGAGCTCCACAAGAAGACCAACAGAGCCAACTAACCAGGCCCCAGAGGTGCTTGCTGAGACTGAAGATCAACCAAAGTCCTTTCAGGAACTGGACCTAGGCCCTCTACTAAAATGTAGCAGATGGGAAGCTTAGGCTTCATGTGGGTCCTCCAGTAACAGAACAGGGGACTGCATTGGACACGGACTCACCTGATAGATTTTTGATCACTTCCCCCTGGTGGGACTGCCTTGTCAGGCCACAGGGGAAGAGGACATGCTCAGGCCTGATGCAACTTGATGCGCTGGGGTACATGGGAAAGGGAGCTTACCTTTGCTGAGAAATAGGCAAGGGTAGGGGGTGGAGGAAGAGAGAGAGAGATTGGATGGGAAGAAAGGATGAGGCTACAACCAGGATGTAAAGTGAATAAAAAATTAATTGAGAATGCATCAGAGCATGAGATCTCCCACTGACCACCATTCTGCTGCCTTGATAACTGAAAAAGGGACTTTCATTTGCCCGTTTTAATTGTTGTCTCGGAGGCTCACTGCCTCCTTCTAACTGAGGCCTAGTCCTGGAAGCTTCTAGCCCCTGTACAATCTAACCTAGGCCTAGAACATTTTCAGCCTGAGACTTACTGCTTAAATAAGCTCACCCTTGTTCTTGCTGAGTTCTGGGCTGGCTGTTTCCGATTCAGCTGTTCTGGCTCAAGCTCCTCTCCAAGCTAACTTAGCCAATCTGGCTTTCCTCTGGACTTCTGAATTGCTCTGCTTGGCCTCAAACTAACTTCAAGAGTCTCTTCTAGTCTTCTGGCTTTCTCATTCTCTGGCTCATTCGGTCTTCACCTGAGTTCTCTCACTGCAATCTATTACTGTCCCAGTAAAACTGCCTCCTCACTCTCTGCATTCACCCTTAAACACCTTCCCTTTCCTCTCTTCTCATAAGAGTTGGGCATATTCTATTCTGTCAAATCTTTCTCTGATTCATCACTGTTTTTGCCACTCAATTAAACACCACTTTGAAACATGGGTGCTTCCTTCTACAAACTGTCTTTACCTTCATTGTTTGGAATTAAATGCATGTACCACCATGCCTGGATCTAAGCTTTTCTTCACCGGAAACTAAGATCTGCTTGCCTGTCTCCTGGACAGGCAAAAGGTGTGTTATCACCCAGACCTAGATCTTCAGATGTGATCTCTTGACAGTTGGATCACACAGGCCTAAAAGGTCTTTGGATGTGATCTCTTGCCAGAACAGCCATGTTCTGAATTAACATTCCTCTACAGATAATGACTTTCTTTGTTCTGTAAACTATAAAACTTCATGAAGCTTCTTGCTTCCACATTGGAACATAGAATTTGGGGTAACCAAAACCTGTGTTGCCAGACCTTGGTAACTCCAATTTGCCTCTAGAATATAAACTCTTATTCCCTTTAAGGTTGAGTTTTTGTTTTTTTAAACATCAACATGGGAGATTCCAGCCCACTTGTCATCTGAATGCCTGTGCTTCTAATTCTGCTTTTCTATGAGCTCCACCAAAGCTATCTTGAAGGGGTGTTTACCTCCACCCCATTTAGCAACTGAGAGTACTTTCCCAATGCATATGCATCCTGAAGCTGTGACCACGACATTACTGTGTTGGGCTTAATTCTTAGACCTATTGAAGAGGTATGGGGGTGGAGATGTTTTTTGATCAAATCAGATGACATTCTATTTATCATGGGGTTCACTGCAAATAACAGAAAAGGTGGTGGGGAAGCACCCTGTTGCACCGAGATTAGCAACAGGCAACAGGGTTCAAGTCTAGGCTTTTCTCACAATTATAATAGGAGCTGTTCCACTGGAAACTCAGTTACATTCATGACCCCTCAACTGTGACTTCAAGGGCCTCAACTGCACAAGTTACTCACGATTTGGCTGTAAAGCTAAGGACATTTTCACAAAGCTATGACCATGGCCCAAGAAGCCCTGTACCCCTCACTCCCCCCACATCAGACTCATCAGTTCCAAAGCTAATCTCCCATTTACCCTCCAGATTTTTCAGCCTATGACCAAACACAAAAAGCAAATGACTGGATTTCTGCTGGGGGAAAAAAAATGTGTGGGGGCAGAGGGGAGGTGATCAAGAGACCAAGAGGGAGATAAGGATAGGGGCTTGCAGGAAAAGAACAAAGAAGTTACCGTACCACAGCCTAAAGGCATGCAGCAAGAGGCAGGAGACACCAGGAAGATGCAGCTTTCTAGAAGAAAAAAAGCTTGGCATCTGGTGTTTGGGAAGGGCCATATAAGACATAAGCCTCCCCCTGAACCTGAGGTCAGGTGAACACCCCAGATGATAGCTGAAGGCAGAAAAAGCCAAGGACTCCGCAATCTCGGAAACCCGTCTCCACTGTGATAAGGCCTGTCCCCAGACCTCTCTCAACACTCCCTGAAACTGCACCACAAAATAAACACACACAATAACTCTTTTTTAATAATACAAACACGAATGTAATTACATTCAAACAAAATCATTTTTACGGGTTTTCTTTTTCCCTGTGTGGTTGTGTATATGTGCTCATGTGCACACATGTATGTGGAGGCTGCAGGCCAACAATGGTGTCTTCTTTATTCATTCTACAATCTGTTTTTTTAAGATTCATTACTTCTGTGTATCGTGCTTCTGTGCGGAATGTACGCTACATGTGTGCAGGTGCCTGTGAAGACCGGGGGCCATACCCTGGACCTGGAGTTTTAGGGGGTGTGAGCCCCCGGACATTAGTGCTGGGAACGGAACTCAGACCCTCCGGAAAGCAAGCATCCGTGGGTGCTGAGCCAGCTCTCCAGCCTGGTTTTTTAAATAAAGGTTCTCACTGAAGCTGGAATAAACAGATCTCACTAGGCTGGGTGATAGCAAGTTCTGTGAATCCTACTGTATCCACTCCCTCACCCCACCTCAAGCATTGATTTTACAGGCACATACCACTTTCCTCAGCTTTTTACCTGTGTGTTGGGAATACAAATAGCTCCTCATGCTCAACAAACGGAGCCACCTCTCTAGCCTCCAAAAAAATGCCATAGGCCCCATTTACGCGATAGCCATGATTTGTCGGCTCCTGGTTTATATCCTGTATAAACATATATGGCTCACAAATACCAGCACTCACACAAATAACCTTTAAAGTACAGACTGAATGATTGGTTCCACTATCACCACACATGCTACAGGTAAAAAAAAAAAAAAAAAAAAAAAAAAAGCTGCATAGACCTGAGCTAATTACAAAAAAGAAAAGCAATGTGAACAGTGAAATGTCCCAGATCTCATTTATTCAAGGTACATCCACATAATAATAACAAAGAATTAATTATTGATGGTGCAAGCTCAAGACAGAAACTGTTAAACAAATAAAAATAAAAGCCACAGGCCAAGCAAGATGGCTCAGTGGGTAAAGATGACTGTCACCAAGCCTGACAATCCAAGTTCAACCCCCAGAATCCATAAGGTGCAAGATCACTGACTCTCACTGATTCACAGCCACATACACCTAGCAGCGAGTGTACATACATATATACAAAATAAATGAATGTGTTTTTAATAATAAGCTACTCTTTTGTATTTTGAAGTTAATTCTATAGAAAACTCCATGAAATTGCAGGAATACATATAAGCCCATACAGGCACTAAATACAGGCACATGTGTACATATACTTACATACATACATATACATATACAGTTCATACATACATACATATGCCCATTTACAGAACCACCCTACTATTCCCATGGCTGGCACTTAAGGGCTTTACTGGACTCTCACAACAAATGTACCTTATATCACAATCTACAAAAACACTTCTGAAATTAGTCCAGGTCATCCTGAAATGAAATTCATGTTTAACAAGACAAATATGTGTGCTTAGTAGTAGTAGTTAATTTGTGAGTAACTTTCCTCATGCATGTTTACTATGTCTAAACAATCAACAAATAATTATATTTGTTTTCTGTAAAGTTAATCAGCTGATATGCAATTTTATCTCAGCATAAAATAAACTTCAAGTAAATACAGAAATACATTTCATTTTGGAATATGCTGATAAAGTGAAGAACTCATTTCTCAGTAAACTGTTATGTAAAACTGCATTATGTAAAAATCTCATTGTGGTATGAGCCATGTAGTATATATGTGAATTCTGACCTGTTAAGGACCTTCCTTCATTCAGAACACATAGGGCATCCCCACCCACAGACTGATGATGGGACTGATCTGTGATCCAGAAATGAATGATTTCCAACTCATGACATCCTCTTCAATGAGTTCCTCCTCAAGATGGCAAATCTGACCACATTGTGAGAGACAAAGGTCTCACCCTAGTGAGACATGTGATGTCTATGAAATTATCCTGCTACTGAAGACTTCCACACTCAAGAGCACAAAGTGGGTCTCTTTCCCGGGTGAATTCATTTGTTCACGCTGTCAGAGTTGGGCGTGAGACGCCAAGACTTCCCCACAGCTGCTGCATTTGGAAGGCTTCTCCACCATGTGAACCCGATGGCACACCTCCAGTAGTGTATCTGACTAAACCATTTTCCAGTCTTGACATCCCTAAGGTTTGTCTTCAATGTGAGTTTGTAGATGAGATGTCAACTCTGACTTCTGCAAGAATACTTTTCCACATCTCACAGACAAAAGGTGTTTCCTTCCTGTGAATCAACTTATGCTTAGAGAAAACTGACCTGCTTCTAAAGGCTTTCCCACAATGAGTGCACACATAAGGTCTCTCTCCTGTGTGAATTCGCTCATGCTCTTGGAGTTGGACTTTAGTACAAAAGGCTTTCCAACAGTTGTTGCATTTGTAAGGTCTCTCCCCTGTGTGAATCAGAAGATGCACCTTCAGTTCAGATGGAGAGCAAAACGACTTCCCACAGAAATTGCATTTGTAAGGCTTCTCCACCAGGTGAATTTTTTCATGTCTGCTCAATGTTGACAACTGTTTGAAGGCCTTCCCACACACAGAACACACATAAGGCCTCTCCCCTGTGTGTATTCGAGAATGTGCCTTTAGTTGAGACGTTTTACTGAATGATTTCCCACAGTCAGGACACTTACAAGGCTTCTGCCCTGTGTGGGTCTGATAATGCGACTTCAGCTGGGATGGGTAATTAAACAACTTCCCACAGTCAGGGCATTTGTAAGGCTTCTCCCCAATATGGAGCTGTTGATGGGGTGTCAAAGTAGACTCCTGGACACCTGTCTCACATTTCTGAGAGACAAAAGGTTTCTCTTTAGTGTGAATTAGCTGATGTTTACGAAAAGACGACCTGCTGCTGAAGGCTTTTCCACACTCACTGCACACGAAGGGTCTCTCTCCTGTGTGGATTCGCTCGTGCTCTTGGACTTGCTCCTTAGTAGAGAAGGCCTTTCCACAGTGGCTGCATTTGTAAGGTCTCTCTCCTGTGTGAACTCGATAATGTGCCTTCAGCTGGGACATCTTACTGAACAGTTTCCAACATTCACGGCACTTGTAAGGCTTCTCTCCTGTGTGATTCTGATAATGCACCTTCAGTTCACATGGAAAATTAAAGGATTTTCCACACTCGTGGCACTTGTACGGCTTCTCCCCTGTGTGACTATGGCAATGCACCTTCAGCTGGGATGGGTAATTAAATGACTTCCCACAGTCACTGCACTTGTAAGGCTTCTCCCCAGGGTGAAGTTTCTCATGCCGGTCTAGTATGGACTTCTGATTGAAGGCTTTTCCACACTGAGAACACACATAAGGTTTCTCTCCTGTGTGAATTCGTTGATGCACCTTGAGTTTGGCTGTTTTACTGAATGACTTTCCACATTCATGGCATTCGTAAGGCTTCTCACCTGTGTGGATCTGACGATGCACCTTCAGCTGGGATGGAAACTTAAACGATTTCCCACAGTCATTGCATTTGTAAGGCTTCTCTCCATTGTGACTTTGTTTATGGGATGTCAACTCTGACTTACGTAAGAAGGCCTTCCCACATTTGTCACAGATAAAAGGTGTGTGATTCTTGTGAATCAATTCATGTTCATAAAAAGCTGGCCTATCGCTGAAGGCTTTCCCACATAGACTACACACATACGGTTTCTCTTCTATGTGAGTTTGCTCATGTTCTTGGAGTGCAGCCTCAGTACAAAAGGATTTCTCACAGCTGCTGCACTTGTAAGATTCCCCTCCAGTGTGAACTAGATGATCCACCTTTAGTTGGAATGGGTAACTCAATGAATTGGACACATAAAGGAAGGCCTTACCACCATTGTAGGAAACAACTGGTCGGTTCACAGTGAGAGTGATGTCAGGTTTATGCAAAGAAACAGCATAGAGGATCTCCCCACACTTAGAACTTTGATCTGCTGTCTCCTGAGACTGGGTTCCATGCATCAGTGGTTGTTTATCACTGAGAACTTCTCTGTTCCCAGTGCTTCTGCATGACTCTTCTCTATGAGAAGCCACACTGCTGGCATTACAAGAGCCTTGTATCAGGAGCTGACTGGATGCAACAATGTTAATAAGCTGCTCTGTGACTCTGCTTTCCTTCTGACCATTTGCTCCTAGATTTAGCTCCAAACTTTTTGGAAGTGAGCAATATCGTGGAAGACCCTCTTGTGTAGAAATGAAGTAGGGTCTCAAGGGAATGTTTTCTCCAGGCTTTTGATATTCATGACCACTATTTGTGCTCAGAGTTTTCTTGTGGAAAGTACCAGGATGGAAGGGTAGAATCTGGTTTTGCTGATCTTTCTTTGTAATGTCAGTATCCTGCCATAGTTCTTGTAGAAAGGGACACAAAGAATCATCTCTTGTGACTTCACTTGCCATATTACTATGAACTGAAGCTTTCGCAGACATTTTCTGTGGTGAGGTATCAATTCCTGATTTTTCTACAAACACAGACAAAGGAATAAGCAGAGTGAATAGGATGGAGGATGAATCATATGGAGGGACTGAGACTAACTATAAATGCCTAAGTCAGGTACTAATGATGCAGATGATGCTAACAATTAGTAGAAACAAGCCAACCAATGACCATATACAGCGGGGATCACCTATATAGCAGACATTCATATAATTATGACAACAGATCAGAGGATGAGGCACAGAAACTTATTTTTAAAAGTTGGAAATATATATACATAATAAAACATCAGAAAGTTTCTAAATCCTTTATAACAGAAAATAACTGTATGTTTGCATCAAAATTTATCAAAAAGCAAAATAGCAACATTTGTTGTAATAAAATCCACCAGTAGCATTTTGATTGCTCACATGTCTTAAGTGGAATCCATAAATCACATAAGGAAACTTAACCTAAATAAGAAAAACTCAGGTGTGTTGGCACGAGCCTTTAATTCCAGCACTTGGTAGGCGGAGGCAGGTGGATCTCAGCGAGTCCAAGACAGCCTAATCTACAAAGTGAGTTCTAGGACAGCCAGGGCTACACAGAGACATGTGTGAAAAATAACAATAACAAAAATAAATAAAATGCCATAGAAATAAATAACAAAAGGAGATGGTCTGTACTCATGCCAATGGGGTTAAGAAAATAACTTTTGTATTCAATAAGGATCATGAGTACGGATTCCAAAATAACCAAATAAATTAAAGCAGTGAGCGAGAGAAAATAGTTCAGAAGCCCAGAAGAGAAAAAAATGCTTAGCCAGACAAAAAGACTTTCTGATTTGAATGATCCCAACTTCTGGTCTCTGAAAATAAAGGAAGGGAACCAGCTTACAGGAACTGTCCTCACATACCTAAACAGGGCAGAAGAGACTGTTAAGGTCAAGGACTAAGAAATTCACTGTACACAACATGCACTGCATGTCATATTCAGAATGAACAGAGCCTTTACGGCAAACCTGTCACAGGAGGAACATACAGAATACTAAGTCTAAGGTGCCACAACTAAGGGGAACAAGGAATTAGCATAGGAATTCAGAAAGTCAGTGAGTTCCAAAGAACCCAAAAGACAATATACTAATTCAAAAGTATATACTAATTCAAAAGTATATACTTTTGAATTATACTAATATAAAAGACAATATACTAATATAAAAGACAATATACTAATTATAAATATACTAAGTATAAAAGACCATATACTAATTCAAAAGTCAGTCTTAGAACATACAAACCACAACCAGTCCTTTCTCCATTACTTGAGCAATATATTAATCAACTTGGCTAATGGCAGGTGTTCACAAACAAGACATGAAAATAAAAAAATTCTTGTGCACTTACACAGGAGACAAGCTCATCCCACAAACTCACCTTTCAGAAAGTCTCACATTGCCTCACATCAACAATAAACGGATCGCAGAATTAACCATAAAAACTACACGGAGTTTTTCTAAAGGTGACCACCACTGGAGAGTTGGTGAGACAGACTGACAGAGGCCTCACGAAATCTACCCAACCCAGGAATGGCTTACCTTGACACCTCTGGCCTGGGAACTCAGCCTTTTCTGTCTGTGCTGCCTTTCCTTTTTCCATCCTAAAGATGACTCCAGGGCTGGGAACGGGATACCCTGTTAATGAGAAAGATGCTGGGGTTTTGGGGGTAGTTTCATGTTTTTAGAGATGATCCAATGAAGTTTTGCACTGCTTCATTGGGAAAACCAAGTCAACATTCTATTTTGTATAATTTGTAGGTGAACAAAAGAAATGAAGCATCAGGACAAATGAAGTAAACACACACACACACACACACACACACACACACACAAGAGAGATGGGGAGAGGAAGAGAGAGATACACTTCTGATAAAGAGAAGGAAGGAAATCCTTTCAATGAGGCCCACCCTGCATCCCCAGGCCAGCTGTGCTCACCCACTGACAAGAGGTGGCTGTAGATTTCCAGCATCACCTCCTGGTACAGGTATCGCTGGGCAGAGTCAAGTTGCTGCCACTCCTCCTGGCTGAAGTTCACAGTCACATCCTCAAAGGACATCCACCTCTGTAACAACACACCACAGTTCACTGTGAATGACTCATCATTGGCAAATAGAAAAATAGAAGATTAAATTATTAATGACATTTCACTACATTTTTCACAAAATATCTACTTTCTATTAATTTGGGGAGATAGAGAATGCTTATAAAGCAATCAATCCCACCATCCATCATACACAATCACATTTTAAAGTACATTAGAAAAGGATTCTTTTTAACACTTTAAGAAAGAGTACACAGCACAATGTTTAAGCAACAATATTCCAAGTTAGAGTTACGCTGGATCCACCAGATTCAACATTATGAAACTTGGCAATTAGAAGCTGCTTTGCTAAGAGTACTGACTCCTTCTTTGGGAACTAAATGCCAGATAAGATAAAAGCCTGGCATCTCTGACTTCACTCTGTGTCTATCTCCTCGACTTTGGGTTACCTACTTACCTCTGCAGATTAGCACATATTGTTCAAAGAGCACCAGCCTAAACTACCCCAACCCCCTTCCAAGATGAAAGTACAGATTGGTTATAGTCCTTGTCCCTAATCTTACCTTTTGAGGTTGTACACTGAGGCAGAAGTATTTCCCCCCAAGAATGCTCTCTTGCAAAAAGGACTTCTTGGTTACACACGTGACTATTTAACTGATCAGCTACGAAAACAAGCCCCCTACCTCCGGATCCTTAGTATAAAAATCAACCTCTTTTCTCTCTCTCTCTCTCTCTCTCTCTCTCTCTCTCTCTCTCTCTCTCT